TGCCTCCACTCCCAGGCCCCTCTTTCCTGCCCCACTCCCAGAACTTGATTCTTTCCAGATATTCTTTGTCAAGCCGCCAAAGTGGAGAGTGTGGTTGCACCAGGGGTTCCTTCTCGTTTCAGGTATTAAACATGACTCTGTCACACTTTGACCCTTTATAGTGGAAACCTACTCAACAGTTAACATAAAAGCCAGACTTGCATTTCCTTATGCCAAGTTTTAACTTTTTTTTTTCTTTTATCACAGTGTAGGGGGAGGAGGTGGGGGTGCACCTCAGCACTGTCCCAAGTCTGTCGGCAACAGGTGATTTAATTTTATTGGTTCCCCACCCAAGTGTTCTTTTACATGGAACACTTGGTCACTAATCTTTACTACAAAACCTTTCTACTGGCTTTGAAACTTTAAATTATATTCCCACTTATTATTCTTTATTGCCCCTTTTCCATCGCCTCGCCTTAATTATGTTTCCATCAGTCAAATGTTGGGGATAATACCTGGTGTTATTTTTGGTACCACCTCTGTGTGTACAGCTTATTTGGAATTACTGGCTGAGACACATGGATACTCTATCAGTTTGTAAAATAATCAGGGCCAAAAGACTGATTACCACAGATTCTAAAATGCATCTTGTTGGTGAAACCAAACTTACTCAGGGCAATTCATTACATTTGAATGATTATGAAATGGTAGAAAAACTGATGGCGTCACATTGTGGAAATTTGTCTCCAGTCTCTGGTCACTTCTCTTTCAGTAACTTTTGTTTGGTAATCAAATCAGGTTTTAGTAACGTCTCTGTATGGTGCAATGGGGCCTTTGTACTGCAACTTTACTTCTGTGGATCAGATCAGATGTGAGATACAGTTGCTTATACTCATATTTCTGTATTGTTTTTTTTTTTTTCTTATTCCATACAGCGAGTTCCTGGGGAAAACCCCAGGTTCTAGCGTTCAGAGATGGGTACCTTCTCGAAGCACTAGACGAGATGCTAACTCCACCAGCGATAAAGGGCAAAATGATGCAGTCTTCAGGAAAGTGAGAGGGTAAATTTCTGTTTGATACGCATTTACTTCGGTTACACACATCTTGTACATTTTTTCACAGTATCATTTAAATAGACTGTATTTATAAGTATAAGGTTTTGAGCATTTTGTCCTTCCTCCTCTTCTTTAGCATACTTAATAAGCTGACTCCTGAGAAGTTTGACAAACTATGCCTGGAGCTCCTCAATGTCGGTGTCGATTCAAAGCTTGTCTTAAAAGGAATCATCTTGTTGGTGAGTGCTGACTTCAGGTGTACTCTATTATTCTATTCTCATAGATCTATAACCTATTAAAATGGCCACTTAATGTTTTCCTTTCTCTTTAGATTGTTGACAAAGCCCTTGAAGAGCCCAAATATAGCCAGTTATATGCTCAGCTATGTCTACGCTTGGCAGAGGATGCACCAAACTTTGAAGGTCCATCGACAGAAAGTCAAGCAACACAAAAGCAGAATACTGTAAGGCTTAACAAACATTAACCCTTTACCACTCTCTGGTATTTGCTGTCTGGAATTTGAACAAATTCTTTTTACAGACCTTCAGACGGCTTCTGATTTCTAAGCTTCAAGATGAGTTTGAGAACCGTGCCCAAAATGTTGAAAGTAAGTGAATTGCATCTGATACATGTGGTCAGTTAGAAAATAAAATGTGGTTTTAAAATAAATAAATAAATAAATGTGGTCTTGTCTGAATTGTTCCTTATCCCCCTCCCCAGAGTTTGAGAAACAGGACAGCCCACTGTCCTCTGAGGAGGAGGAGGAGCGTGCTGTTGCAAAATTCAAGATGCTGGGCAACATCAAATTTATCGGTGAACTTGGCAAACTCAGCCTCATCCACGAATCTATCCTTCATAAGTGCATCAAAACAGTAAGTTCTGGTGAATAACATTTGCATGGTTAGGTAGGACTGTAAATCTTACTTGTATTAACTTGTGTGATTGCAAGATCAGATTAAACTGCCAGTGTGAAAGCATCCTGGCATCTTGATGTCCCAGGTCACATCAAGGGTTCTGGAAAATATTTGAAATGATGTTATTAAATCTTACTTATTTCTCTTTAAGCTCTTGGAGAAGAAGAAGAGAGTCCAACTTAAGGATATGGGTGAAGATTTGGAATGCCTCTGTCAGATAATGAAAACAGTGGGACCTAAACTTGATCATGAGAAGGCTAAGGTCAGTATGTGGCACAACCACATTGTAGTCTTGTCTTAAAATCCCTTTGCTCTTTTTAATGACACAGAAATTCTCCTTTCAGTCTTTGATAGATCAGTACTTTGGCCGCATGCGATCCTTAACACACAACAAGGAACTGCCAGCCAGGATTCGTTTCCTGCTGCAGAACACAGTGGAGCTGCGAGACAACAACTGGTTGCCTCGTAAGGCTTACACTGACAATGGACCAAAGACGATCAAGCAAGTTCGTCAGGATGCAGTAAAGGTTAGTCTGCCACCTCTACTTGGGAATTAACTGTCCATTTATCATGGCCTGTTTAAGAATATTCATGATATTGAGTAATGCTCAGTAATGTCTGTGTACTAGTCTAGTAGACACAGCCTGTACCCTCAGATTCTTACTGGGTTCTGATTTTTTTTTTTTTGCAGGACCTGGGTGTTTTTATTCCCCCTCCAACCGATGGAATGAGGAACAACTTCTTCATGGACGGCTCCTCCTTCCTGCCAACAAGGATAAAGTTTGACAGGGAAACTGTTGGTGGGCTGGCTGACATGTTTGGACAAATGCCTGGTATGTCTGCCTTTTTTCTCTTCAGCAGTGAAAGGAGTTGTTACTTTCTTGACACATTTAAAATGGAGTGATCCTTTTTAGCAGTGTTTTTAATGTTTGTGTAGGAGGTGGCATTGGCACGGGTCCAGGAGTCATTCAGGACCACTATTCCCCCACCATGGGGCGTCACCGTACAAACCTCTTCAATGGCCATGCTGGAAACGGTAACGGTTCACACCAGCCTCAGTTTGAAGCAGGAAGCAAACCTTTCTTGAAACCCAACCAGGTACATGCCCTGTTATAGTTCAGTTTTTGTTTGGTGTGATGGATCTTTGCAGTTCTTACTAATGCTCATTCTGTGAAAATTCCTTCAAAGGGGCAGAGTTTACTGGTTTTCAACCATAAACAGAATCACTCAGGGCAGATGCAGTCAAAGGATATGGCTCCCCGATTCAGCAAGAAAGGGAAACTCAATGCTGAAGAGGTACAATGATGAACAAAAATCATTTTTGAATCTTTTGTTCTGGCCTTTAAAAGAAAATGTTGGAAGTACTTCAGACTCCCTGAAATATGTGAAGTCTATTGTTTAACCCAACCACTTGGTCCTTCTAGATCAGTCTGAGGCCAGCACAGTCCTTCATCTTGAATAAGAAACAAGTGCCAAAGCTGCAGCCACAGGTGACTCTGATTCCTCCAAGTGCCCAAGGTTCCTTCCTGGGACAGGTAGCAGTTTTTTTTTGTTTGTTTGTTTTGCTTTTTTTTTTTTACTTGTGAAAGAAGTGTTGAAATGATGGTACTTGGCAGTTTCAAGAAACCTGAACTCATTTAACTCTCGTTGTGTAGACTCCGCAGCTTGGCCTGAAGACCAGTCCTCCTCCAATTCAGGAAAAACCTGCAAAGCCTACTAAAAAAGCTCCTCCTACAAAGGAGGAGTTAAGCAAAATGACTGTAAGTTCCCCACAGTTCTCTTCTTACTTCACAATGTATTGTATATCATGCATAATACATCTGATGGATTTTTTTGCTTTAGGAGACACTAGTGGCAGACTACCTGAACAGCAAGGACATCGATGAGGCACTGAGCACTATGAGGGAGATGAAGGCTCCCAAGCACTTTTTGTCTGAGATGCTGAACAAGATCATAGTTTATTCCCTTGATCGGTCTGATGAGGATAAGGAACATGCAAGTGCTCTGATCCATGCGCTCTGCTCTGAGGGCCTTGTCACTGGTGAAAACCTGATGCAGGTCAGTGTTGTAATTGTAACCCTCAAGTATAAAATATTACACAATATTCTGTTTTTACTATCTGAATATTAAGCCATTATTCAGTACCCAACCATACTTTTTGTTCTTTTTTTTTAATAGGCCTCTTTCAGTATTCTGGACCAGTGTCCCAAGATTGAGAAAGAAGTTCCACTGCTGAAGTCTTACCTGGCGCAGTTTGCAGCACGAGCGATTATTGCTGATCTGGTCAACATTGCAGATTTGGCCCATCAGCTGGAGAACGGTGCACATTTCCCACTCTTCCTGCTCTGCCTGCAGCAGCTGGTCAAACTGAAGGGCCGTGAGTGGCTGGCCGACCTTTTCCAGCAGAGTAAAATCAACATGCAGAAGATGCTACCTGGTATGTCCAGATTCGCACTGACCAAACATTTCTACCCAGTGTCGGTTAACTGGCCTTTTGGTACACTTTGTATTAGAAGCATTTTTCATTTGTCAGTGGTGCAGTTCACTGAAAATACAGGTGAATCATGTGACTTTCATTTCTACATAAGGCTTATTTTTAATATTCCTATAGAAATTGACCAGAACAAGGACAGAATGTTGGAGATTTTGGAGGGCAAAGGCCTCAGCTTTTTGTTCCCACTGATGAAACTGGAGAAGGAGCTGCTGAAGCAGATCAGAGTAGACCCCTCTCCACAGTCAATCTACAAATGGATCAAGGACAACATCTCTCCTAAACTCCACACTGACAAAGGCTTTGTCAACATCCTCATGACCAGGTGCAGCAGTGGAACAGCGTCTTTGTCTGATAACCACCAAACAGTTTGTTTTGCTCTTCAAGTTTTAAAGTATATTGACTTTTCTTGTCTGCCAGCCTCTTACAGTACATTTCTTATGAGATCAACCCTGGTGATGATGAAGAGCAACTTTCAGCACCTAGTAAGGAGCAGCTGGATGAGGAGAAGCAGCAGCTGCTGTCTTTCAAGCCGGTGATGCAAAAGTTCCTACACGAGCACATTGACCTGCAAGTCAGTGTGCTGTATGCCCTGCAGGTCCACTGCAGTGCCAAGGGTTTCCCCAAAGGTACGTGGACATATGCAGCAGCTTAAGACCAAAGTTGTTTAACTTGGGTATCGAAGCTTCCAGAAGTGTAATTGTTACTCTCTTCCAGGCATGCTACTGCGTTACTTTGTGAACTTGTATGACATGGAAATCATTGAAGAAGAAGCCTTTCTTTCATGGAAAGAAGATGTCACTGAGGAGTATCCAGGGAAGGGAAAAGCATTATTTCAGGTAATCAATCACTCTCTTTTTTGACTTGCCAAGAATGGAGCATATTCATATTAGGAATTTATCTCAGTAATTGCTCCCACATAAAAGGACAAAGAGCACACAAGACGATTCATAAATAGTAATATATAGTATATTACTAATGAATCTCGGGGCTCCAGTCTGATCAGTCACATTTTGTGATCAAATTTATTTAGGGTGCGATGTGACTCCCCCCCGCAAAAGGTCACACTTGGTGCGACCACAAAATAAACACCTTATGCACAAACGGTGCTCTCGCTGTAAAAATAGTGGACAGACGTAACAATCGCCGATGCTGTCATCACATTTATTTGCAGGTCTGCACAGAGTCTTCCAGTCTATCTAATGTGTCGGTCCGCACCGACACGCATCATCTCTGGACATTGGCCTAATGTTGTTTTAATTGCAGGTGAACCAGTGGCTGACCTGGTTGGAGACTGCTGAAAACGAGGAGTCTGAGGATGAAGATTATTAAGGAACCGCTCAAAGCCATGTGTTATCAGGGTGCAACAAGTGATTTTTTTTTTCTCTCCCCCCCCCTCTTCTGGTTTATATTTTTCAGCAACTGTTAGTTTTGTCTTGCAGCAAATATTTTATATATTTCAACACAATATTTAACAGTAGGCAGGAAAAGAAACCAAAACCTGACAAATTTTATCACCTTATTACATCTGGTAGGAGTCACCAAGAACTGCCATAATGATTTACTGAAAACAGTTTACAAAAGACAGAAGTTCTAAGGTTTCAAAGAGACTAATAAATGCAGATAGAACAAGTATAATCATTTTTAGATGCACTTTGCTTAACATCATGAGACGTTGCAATAGTAAAATACACTTTCTGTAATTTGTTAAAAGATTCCTGAGTTAGTGGTCATCTGCTGCAGTGAAGCAGAGCTTTCTGTTTAAAAATTCTTAACCTGGATGTGATATTTAACAGCCTGCTGTTTTTTGCAAGTGATTTCAGTTGCATCTTAAGAATCAAGAACTTTTTATGTATTAAACGGTTTGCTGTTAGAAATTAAATCTGTGGCCTTTGATTTTTAATTTATCAGATCATATGGATATACCTCTAATGTATCCCGGGCTATACTTGAATGCCTTTGTTGTAACAGACAGCCAAAGCTTAGTTTTCTGTGCTACAGTTGGTTCATCACCATGTATGGTAGTTTTAAGTCTTTGCTGTATTTGTAAAGTTTCTAAATGGGGTTTTTTAATCTTCAAGAAATACTAGTGTACTGTGCGTATACACTTGTACCTTTTTATTGGAGTATCACTGTAATGTTGTGCAACTACAGACCTTGAATAAAGTTGGTTCCTTTTGTTGTCCTGAACACTAGTCTCAGCCTGCTTTGGTTAAATCATGAGTGCTTTTGATTTTAGATATTGCACAACCAGTTTGCACCTTTTTTAAAACTTGCTAGTTTTGTTTTTGAGGTGGTTTTGGTGGACCATGGTTCTCTTAAGATGTATAAGCTTTTGGACATCTGCAACAACTTCGTCAACACTGCTCAACATCCCATGAGTACAAACTGACCGGTAAAACTTCAAAGTACTGGCAGGTGTCTGGGAAAACATGAATGGTTTTCCAGAGGGGCTCCCTCACCTCTGATTTTTTTTTTTAATCATGGTTTGAAATGACTCATACAAATTCATATTTTCACTTTTTCAGTTTATTCACAGTGCTAAAGTTTAAGGATGTAAAACTAGAATGTTGCTTGACAGTAGCTAGTGGGTCAATGTTTAATATAACTGACAGTTTTCATTGAAGCATCTTCTCTGCTTTGGCTTTGCCGCTTCAATTTGATAGAAAATAGATGCCTGCAACTTTAACTTCAGAGCACTTGATCTATCTTTAACACAATACATTGTAATGCCAAAAAAAAAAAAGTTTTCTACCTCCTTACCAAAATATATGAACAAGTCTGTTTTAATGGGAAATATAAATGCAACTTCACCATCACATGAGACAGTCTGAAGATTTAATCACTGTCATTGTTGGAGCCTTCTGGTCCAGAACCATTGGCTGAGCGGCGTGGGGAGCTCTCATTGCCTGATCCCACCTCAGATCCCCTGTCCGAGCCTCGGTCTGACGCTGCGATGGGCGAACCGGGCCGTGACTCATCTTACGATC